CCCTGATTCGGGAGAGACTGCACTCCGTCCACCTCACCCATTTGAAAGTACAAATGAATGAGAAACTATAAATAATTTATATGCAGGAGCCAGCATATCTCCTGAAAGATGCTTTCCCTAACATTCAATTCTCGCCTCCTATGCACATATATGTTTGCTAATAAAAGGTTTCGTTTCTCTGACAACAAATTTGAATCTAGCCTGAAAGACAGAGCACATGCTAGTGGAAACGAAGATTGAACACATATATTCAAAGAAAATGAACCTAATTTAGGCTGTGATGGCATGCTCGGCTTGGTCCCTCTATATGGGCAAGAATTACCTTAGAAAGAAAAACTGTTTCAGTTCCCTACTTAAGCACCTTCTCTTTCTTGTTCTGGTTCCAGTCCAACAAGCAACCTCATCTCCCAAATACTGGCTAATCTCTGCAAACAATGGGCACCAACAAATCATCACCACATCATGAACGCGGAAGAAAATACATAACAAATGTACCAGCTGCAGGAGCGACACACACAACCATGTTTTGAGCCAAATGGTATGTGATACTCCCCATTAATACCAGGGGTGAATTATCCATTTATCTTTAGTTTTCCCTATGAAAGAATATAACATCCTTTTTTAGCAAAAGAATATAGCACCCTTACACCTTGTTTTGTCTGCCTAAAGCACCCTGTTTTGTCCACGAGACAGTTGAGAGGATTACCAATTTTATCTTGACTCTGCCTGTATGAAAGAATATAACACCCTCACACCCTGTTTTATCTGTCTACGACTATCTCTTCTCCATTTGTTATGCAGGACATTACAAGCATCACACTGAGGAATACCGAGCTGCAGTGACTGAGCTGCTCATGAAGGCTTCAGCGCTTTACACAAGCAGAAAACGACTCAATGACTACAGTGTCGGCACGAGTGAGGACAGTGACACACCTTATTCGTCTCGCAATCTACATAAGACTGCTGTAAGCTCCAGTGATAGGCTAGGGAGGGTTTCAGTTGATCCAGCCAATCATTTCTTCTTACCGAGTTCCATGGAGTACCATGAAAGCAGGAGTGAAGTGCTAAAACCCGAGTTGTTCAACATGCCGAGTGTTGAAAGCGCGAAGAACCCTGATGGCGTGTTGGGGACGATGCTCTATGATGCATGTGTCCCAAAGAACGTGGAAGGCTGGGACTTCAAGCTTGCATCAATAGATGGACAGCGTATGCATTTTACTGCCCGTCAGCATGGTACTTCCAATCCAACAAAATGTATACGCCGCTCAAGATTGTAATGATTTTGACTCAACATCTAAGTGCATTCCAGCAGACTGCTCTATACTGCCAGAGTATACTTGTTTCAGGAGAATGTTATTGTGTTGACCTTTTCTGGAAATTTTAGAGTATACTGCCAGAGTATACTAATGCTTTTTTATGGAAATTTTAGTTGCCGCAAAGATGGCAAATTCCTTAGGCCTTGTTCGGTTGACAGGGAAGTAAAGGGGATTTACCAGAGATTGAGGGGATTAAATCCCTAACGAAGTCAAAATCCCCTCCAATCCCCTCCAATCCCCTATGGAAGCAAGGCACAAATTCCCCGCGCGGCGCCGGGGGCATAACATGTCAATCTTGCAAAAAAAAGTTAGATGCTTATAATCGATTTTCTGTAGGAAAAGTTAGGATTCTCAAATGATGACATTACTGCAAGTCTCGAGGCCCAGAAACAACAACCAGTTGTCAATGCTTTGGCACTGCAGCAGGAAGATCCAGAAGCTGTCTAGCACGCCCTGACAAACCAGCATGACGAACTTGATGTTATCAAGAAGGCTCTGGCATGGTAACAGCTAGAACTTGAAACTGTCAAGAAGGCCCTGGCAGAGCAGTAGCAAGAACGTGAAGTTGTGACGGATCCGCAACATGAACTTCAGTGTGTGAACCGTTTCAAAAAAAAAAACTTCAGTGTGTGAAGATTACCCTTGTACAGCACCAAAAACTAGAAGGTCTCAAGAAGGCCCTGCCAGAGGAGCAAGATGAAATTGAAAATCTGAAAATGGGCTTGTTAGATATGCATAACCGTCTTGAATATATCAACACCGCCCTTGTAGAGCAGCAGGAAGAGAAGTCGTCAAGAATGTGAAGGAAGAGAAAACGTTGGCTCTCGAAAAGAGGCTTGGTGATCTTGATGGAATGCTTAGGTACGTTGTGAGGGTTGCGTCGCCAGGATCCGATGCCTAGAGCTGAACAAACACCTCCATCATACTGGTGCGTTGTTTGAAAATTGCACGACTATGTCACATGGTTAGTTATTGTAATGGCTGAGACAGCCTGTTTCTGTTTAACAATGTCAAGTTTATGGTTTAATAATAGCAGCGATAGCTGAATTTGCATTCAAATTCGAATTTTGCATAATTAAAATTTCTCAAAAATTATGATTTTTTTCCTCAAAAATGCCCATCAATTGTAATATAATATAAATTGACCGTGCTTGCAAACTGTGACGGTTATGCATACTATCACTAACGTATGCATCAACATGTAAGAAGCCACATCACCCATGTATGGACCTGCTTGGTGCTACTTGTGAGCTGTGTTGATATTTCCTCGAAGAGGAGAGGATGATGCAATACAGCAGATAAGTATTTGCCTCAGTTAAGAACCAAGATTATCAATCTAGTAGGAGAACCACGCACGACCTCGTGAACATCACCTACACACAAAAAAACAAATACTTGCACCCAACGCGATCAAGGGGGTTGTCAATCCCCTCGGCGGTTAATTGCAAGGATCAAGTCTGATAATGGTAGATACATAAACAAAAACATAAAATAAAATAACAGTAAATAAATTGCAGCAAGACATTTTTGGTTTTTATATATGATAAAGATAGACCCGAGGGCCATAGTTTTCACTAGAGGCCTCTCTCTCTCGAACAAAAAACATACGGTAGGTAAACAAACTATTGTTGGGCAATTGATAGGAAAGCGCATAGTTATGACCATATCCAAGGCAATGATCATGTATATAGGCATCACATTCGAGACAAGTAGACTGACTCCTGTCTGCATTTACTACTATTGTTCCACACATCGACCGCTATCCAGCATGCATCTAGAGTATTAAGTTCATAAATAACGGAGTGACGCCTTAAGCAAGATGACATGATGTAGTCAAAGTAAACTCAAGCAATATGAATAAACCCCATCGTTTTATCCTTAATGGCAACAATACAAATACATGTCTTGTCCCTTTCTGTCATTGGGATATAGAGCACCGCAAGATTGAACCCATCACAAAGCACATCTCCCATTGTAAGATAAATCAATCTAGTTGACCAAACCAAACGAATAGATCTGAGAGAAATAAAAAAACTATAATAATCATGCATGAAAGAGTTCATACACTGGTGCAGAGACCTGCTATACAAATGGCTTTTAACCCCTTTCCGCGACGGCGTATGGAACCGTCGCCAAGTGAGTGTGGGCGATAGGGGGTCCTTCCCACACGACCCAGAAACCGTCGGGGATAGGCCCTCCTGGCACACAGGCTGGGGGAAAATGAGCTCGTGTTTGATCTGGCGGGGCATCGAAAACCAATTGTTTCCGTTCGTATGTACATCTCACACGGTGAATCTCAGAAAAACATTTCCGTTCATATGTATACCACACGTAGTTTTTTGTGTGGAAACGTTTGTGCAAGGTGGCCTAACGCAAACAGTTCTCTGCGGGAAGCCGTGTGTGATTGTTAGTTGATCGAACACGCCTACTTTATAGAAACCGTGCGGGTTGTTTGAGTTCATCGCCCACAGTGCTATCTGAGTAACCGTCTGCAATAGAAAACCCCAGTAAGCAGGGTAATTAGCCTATTATTGATAATCCATGTACTAATCAAATTGATATTTATTATAAAACACACCAGATATTTCATATCTGTATAACAACAACTAGGATTTCATAATCGAACTATATCAGATAGCTTCGGCACTCAGTTACGCCATTACACGAAAGCACCAAGTTTCACATGCAACATCAAAAACCTTTAGAAAGTAGCATCATACACGGTAAATAGATAGATGAATCTCATCTGGGAAACTGCAGAAGCGGAAGGTAAATATTGAGCCTTCAGTGATGTTGAATGTCCTAGCAACTTTAGGACAGTGGCTATGAATAATTTCCCGCCCAACATCAAAATGTAATGTTCAGTTAACAGTTTGGTCCAACAATTGCTACATTTCGTAGTAGTGTTCTCAAGCATTCTTTGTTAATACATTTCATAGTAGTGTCCTCTGTAATGTTAATATGCAATCTGATGTTCTAGCCGGCGAGGAGGCGGTGCTGCAAGAAGAAGGGCCGCCCGCGAGGAGGCTGAGCTGCTAGTAAGCAGCAGTGAAGGTTTGAACTTGGAAAGCAAGGAGAAACAGTGAAAATATGGCTTTTGGTGGGAGGGAGGGGGCGGAGAGATAGATATTTCCGCGGTGGCAAAAGAAATTCGCTCGACGTCGTGAGAAACTGGCGCGCAAGTGTGGTTCAAGCGGGTGCGGTGGACTGTAGACGACGAAGCTTTCTGCGTAAGCCAGACAAGATGGTGTGCAAAGATATTTTATATCGCATCCCACACGATTCTTTCTAGTAAACTGTTTGTGGTATACCTGATTTTTTTTCATTATGTTTTGAAAGACAAAACAGTGTTATAGAGGAAAAGGATGGTGTTTGAATTGCTAGAACATTTATGTACAGTGAACATGCAACTACATGAGTGTCGTGTTTAAATTTGGAATTATTCCGGGTTCGTTTGGCATTTTTATGGATTAATTGAGTTGCTTGGCATTTAATGTGCATAATTCAAATTTGACCTACAAGCACATGATCCAGTGCACCAAAGTTTGTTGAAAAATCACATGTGTGTCTTTGGGTGAATTTATAGGTCCCATGAAAGAAATGAGAATGGAATTCAAACATCTGGGTGTCCTGGCTCGGCCGGAAACATTGAGAAACTTGGTTTTTAAATTCCTGGAAATTCAAAACTCGCCTGGAAATCATGAAACTTGGCATGGTGTCATTTCATGGCACCAACATGTTGTGGCAAAAAATATTGGCCACATTTGGACAAGTTTTTGGTATAAGCTTCTTACAAACCGGAGCTTCTCTCGAGAAGACTCATGGTTCCTGAGGGGGGAAGTGTCACCTTTGTGTTTGAAACGAGATACGCTGCCTCCCCCTCTTGTTTTTTAGAGAGGCAACATAAAACTATATGAGTGCCGTGTTAAATTTTGGAATTACTCTGGGTTCGTTTGGACTTTCTTATACATTAATTAAATTTTTGGTCATTTAATGTGCATAATTCAAATTTGAACTACAAGCACATGCTCCGATGCACCAAAATTGGTTGAAAAATCACATGTGTGTCCTTGGGTGAATTTTTAGGTCCCATGCAAGAAATGAGAATGAAATTCAAACATCTGGGCGTCGTGGCTCGGTCGGGAACATTGATAAACCTGGTTTTTAAATTCCTGGAAATTCAAAACTCGTCTGAAAATGATGAAACTTGGTATGGTGTCATTTCATGGCACAAACATGCTGTGGTAAAAAAATTGGCCGCATTTGGACAAGTTTTTGGTATAAGCTTCTTGGAAATCGGAGCTTCTCTTGAGGAGACTCGTGGTTCCCGAGGGGGACGTGTCACCTTTGTGTTTGAAATGATATACGCTGCTTCCCCCTCTTGTTTTTTTACAGAGGCAATATAGAACTATATGAGTGTCGTGTTAAAATTTGGAATTATTCTGGGTTCGTTTGGACTTTCTTGTACATTAATTTAATTTTTGGTCATTTAATGTGCATAATTAAAATTTGAACTACAAGCACATGCTCCAATGCAAAGTTGATTGAAAAATCACATGTGTGTCTTTGGGTGAATTTCTAGGTCCCATGCAAGAAATCGGAATGAAATTCAAACATCTGGGCGTCGTGGCTCGGCCGAAAAGATTGAAAAACTTGGTTTTTTAATTTATGTAAATCCAAAACACGCCTGAAAATCATGAAACTTGGCATGGTGTCATGACATGGCACCAACATGCTGCGTAATTTTTTTGGCCGAATTGGGACAAGCTTTGGTATAAGCTTCTTACAAACTGGAGCTTCTCTCAAAAAGGCTCGTGGTTCCGAGAGGAACGTGTTACCTCCGTGTGCGAAACGACATACGTAAACCGCCTTCTCCTGCCTTAATTTGTTTACACTGGCAGATTAGACCAAATAGAAGTACCATGCTAATTTTTGGAATTATTCCGGGTTCGTTTGACCTT